GTAGTAATATAGCAATAAAATTTTTAATTGTAAGAGAGGAGGAGAAAGAATAGAGATAGAGAGAGAGAGAGAGGGAGGAAAAAAAGGAGACTTTGTAATTTTTACGGATCATCCTTTCATTACGGTATTGTGGGAATTCTGAATGAAATTTTACAATGAAACATTTCAAATATTTCCAAAACATTCCGTATTTAAAAAAGGCAAAAAAGGAAAAGTTTGACCATATCATAGTGAGGAGGAAGAAAGGGTCAGGAAGAAAGAGAAAACGAGGAAAGGAATGATGAAGTGCAAAACATTTATACGATAATAATTATAATGGATCCTCCAGCAAATAGCCAATCGGTGGGAAAGGAAGGCGGAAGCGGGAATGTTGAGAATGACAAAGATGCTATTTTAGGATATGTTAAAGGATGGGCAAAGAAAAGAAGATATGCAAAGGAAATATCTCGGGAGGAAGAGTTTCTGGAAGTGAGCGGGGGAGAGGAGAAAAAATGGAAAGAAGGAGAAATATGGGATAATTGGAATGGAATTTTAAAGGTATCATTTTAAAGAAAGAAAGACAACATGAAATGTTTCCATTTTAGGCTAAGAAAGGGGTTGAGAAGCCGAAGTCGAGGAGCCAACCTTTATTCTTCCTAGCTTATGGGATCTTTCTCTTCCTGGGCGATCCTGTTCGTTTCACATGAATGTATGCATTCATCGGTCTTCAGTTTACCTTACCATCCTCTCCTAGGCTTATTACCACAGCATCATTTCCACAAGTAGGCCCATTTCACTAAACGATACCAACCTATCACTCGGTCCGGCTTATTCTCTTCAGCTTGTCTTCAGATCCGTCAAAGCTTAGAAAACTGGAAAATATTCCTCTTCCGTCCTCTACGCCTTGTCACCTATTAAAAGCTTACTTCCCTTCACTGTGCCTGATACTCTTCATCATCTCTTCTTTCCTCACATTCTCCCTCTCCTCAAATATATCAGAAGGCCTGGAAGTTCTTCACATACCAACACACATACACATACATACACATACACATCCATATATATTCATCAAAAGGCTAACGCTAGCAACTTTAAAACTTCGTCGACAACCAACTCAACGTCATTCAAACTGTCGTACTAAATTGAGACAGACACAGACACGGACACAGACACACAGACACACACACACAAACACACACATGCATTCTTATGCATTACCTGCAAACAACATACACACCAGGGGGATAGACTGGCGAGTAGATTGGACATTTTGCATTTATCTGCATGCATAACAACTTGCATCAGCAAGTAAGCAATAAGGTAAGAAGGAGGAATGCAGGATATAGGTGTTACTTGGTTGTTCGGTTAATAATTGATTATTCATTTTATCAAGTTGATTACATCATACTCACGAATATCGATAAATTTTGGGATAAATGTAACCAGAATCACTGATATTACATATTGTCGTTATCACTATCATTACTGTCATCATATGATATCATCGTCATCATCATTGTCATCATCATCAACAGCAGTAGCGGGAGTATGACAATTAATCAAATTTTTATCATTGACGAAAGAGCATCATCCTTCTTTGTTTCCACATCAATCTATTGGTGACCGCATTTGCTTCGCAGCAAATACAAACATCCCAACGATATTATTATCATCATCATTATTATTATCATTATTATCATCACCATTGATCTCTCAGGATGTAATCCCTATTAGTAGCAGTAAGCAAGCTTTCTCGAAATAATTGTTCAATTTTTTGATAAAAATCCGATTGTTCCTTCCAATTTGTACAAATTTTTTTTAAAGTAAATTGTCAATTTCCCTTTCCTGAAATAAACTGATAGCAATGGATAATTTAAAATCAAATTATCAAATTAAATTATATTTCAAAAATTAAAATTTTTGAAATTAATTGTTGTGAATTACCAGAATTACAGTATTTACGCCACACTGTCATTAAATGGCATGACAGCAAAAAGTTGAGCACAAAATTACATCAATCCCCAAAATAGATAATGGATTAATCCATCTGTTAAATTTATCTTAATTATGCTACTTTCCTAAGTTACTTCAATTAACAGATATCATGAAAGAATTTTGAAAGTTACCAACATATCTTTATATCGATTTAACTTTTAAGATTTAAAAAAAAAAAATTACAATCGTTTTTTTTTCTCTCGAAACATTACCTAAGCCTTTTAATATTGATTTTATTTCTTGTTCAATTTTAAAGCTATCCGCCGGAAATGCCTTAATCTGTCATCTTGTAGCAATGTTGGGACATGACAAAAATCCGTTCCAAAAATATCAAATTTAAAAGCAAAAACCAAATTACAATATGAATTTTGAGAAAGGTGAAAAAAGGAAAACTTATGAATTACCTTTCTACCTTGAAATATTTAAACAAATGAGTTTATGCAATGAAAATTGAGTTGTTATTCTTTCCTCCAAATAATTTTATTTAATTCATTTCATCATGCAGTCTCTGCTATCCAATATGACATGAATTTAACAAAATTTGTTTGTTTATTTCCAGATTTCACTTTAACCATTAATCATTGCAATTTAATTCTTACTTGAAATCTTTCATGTAAGACTTTCTAATCTCTCTAGCAATATCAAATATTCAACAACATGTAGGAAAAAATGAAAGATAGAGAAAAAAAAAAAAAAACTAACTAAAAACAAGCTTCACTTATCGTATCGGTCCTATGGAAATGGCAATGCATCTGTCTAAGTACTTTGGGATTTATGAATTCTTTTGAGATTACATTATGACATGATCTAAACTATGTTGTTTAGACCAAAATTTTTTGTTATATTCATTTTGTTGACCAATGATGAATCACCAATTAATGATTTAATCTTAATTCACTGAAATGATTGATATGAAATCATCGAAGTAATTGTGCACACTGAGATTGTCCAGTACTTTAATATAATTTAAAAATAATTTTTCAAAAATTTAATAACTGAGTGATATTTTATCATTGTCCCTTCACTTCATCATTGTCCTGTCCAAGTCTATTTATCCGTATGTCAATCGATCACATTTAGAGAAAGAAAAAAAAAATGAAATTTGATAAATGTCTGCTTATGCACCATTCACTTATTCAAATGCTTATTCGTTCCAGATGCTCCATTTAGGTGTGACAAATTATTTTGCAGCTTTTTGACCTGCATTCTAAAAGATCTCTTTTTTTACTCTCTCCTCTCGTTTAAATTTATGCTATTTTATGAAATTCACAAAATTTATTTGCTACATTCAACCTTTTTGTTTTTTGCCATCCTTTCTAATGGAATCTATTTTCTAATCATTAATTAGCTCACACTATTATTTTAATTAATTTCTGTATGATGGGGGAAAAATAAAAATAACTTTCAAATTCCCAAAGTTATTGTTTTCTTTTTATTTTGAGACTTCAATTTAGTTTCTACAAACTGCTACAAATTATCACAATTGCTGGTCATAAATTTTCCTTGCCACCTGTCATTTCAATTTCGCTGTTTCTTGTGGTGTCGTTTTTCTTTTGTTTTTTTTTCCCCCTTTTTCCTCCCTGTTTTCAAATGAAAGAAACTGTTGTTGTTAAGAAAAAAAAAATCTTTCCAAACAAGATAAACAATTTTTATTTACAAAATGCAAAAATAATTAACTTGAAAAGTAATATTTTTTACAGATTGAAAATCTATTTTCCCTTTTTTTCTTTTTTTTTCGAAAATAATTAAAGTTTTTTTAATTTGAATAATCCTTTAATCATAAATAATACTTGTTGTGTTTTAATAAATATATAAAAATAAAAGTGAAGGGAAAAGTGAAGCGATTGGAAAATGAAAGACAAAGGATGAAAGTAATCATTTCAATAAGGATGATTACTTTTTACATTTCATCATCCTTTTCTTTTTCTTTCACAGCTTCCCTTCTTTTTTATTCTTTCCATTTGTTTTAATTAATGAGTAGAAGTTATTTGTTTAAATTTGAAATTCTTTCACAACACACAAATTTCTTATAGTAAACGAAATTAAATTCTTTATGATGATAAATTTTATGTTTAGGAAATTTCAAATATTTTGGTTTATTTTGCTCATTTATATTTTCACATTGTCTCATATCTTATACAATTTCACTGATTTAAAATGCGTAATATATTTGTGTATGAATCTGAGCATAAAATCGAATATCAAAAAAAGAAAAAAGGAAAAACTCTTCTACTTTTGCATGTAATATTCTTGGTCATCATATTTTAAATTATAATTATTAAAATAGTTTTTTCGAAAACAAAAATAAATTTATTTAAAGAAATTATAGCAAATGAATTTCAAAATTTTGATATTACACTAATTTGAAGACTAAAAAACTTGGGCACTTCAGTTTTTTACTTTGATATTATCAATTGTGCGCTTATGTGACCTTCGTAAAAATTGAAAGACTTTTCGTTTTCAATGGCAATTTTAACTTTGAGAAAGAAAAGCGAGAAAGGATAAAACGAAAATGTTTCAACTTGTTTTGCTATTACTCAACTCATTCATGCTTGATATATGTTTATTAGTTCGTCAATAAAGATTTGTGACATTTTTACTTTTGCTTATTGTCAGTAATGCGTTTGATGATCTCTTCAACAATATTCATATCAAATAACTGCGTTTAAAAAATATATTGTCATTTGAGAATGTTTCATAAATTTATAAGCAATTTACAAAACAAAAAGTTTTACACAAAAGATATTTAAACTTAATGAGTAACCAAATTTTTAGCATTAATTTAAATTACCTTTCTTAATTGTCATTTCTTATAAATCATTTCTCGTAAATCAGAAGCCATGCCTTGTTGGCATCTATTTGCTAATAAACTTTTTTCTCTTTATCTCTCTTTCTGTCTCCTTCCAATTATAAAATGCTAGAAATTTCGTAAGAAAATGAAAATGAAAATTTCAATTTAATAGAGAAAAATTTTTATAAACCAATTCTTCCATCTGACAAAATTAGAAGTGTGATATGAATTTGAACAACACTATCATATTGTTGGAATTACTCAAACTTCTTCCACATTCCAATTATTTCACTTTTCACTCCCATTTTATGCTCATGTTATTGGAGTAAAAAAGAAAATGTGACACTTTGTGCTTCCTTATTTGCAAGAAACTTCAATATATGTTGTTTATTTCGCGAAATTGAAAGCTGTTCCACTGGGAGTACATTGGAAAATGTTTGAAGCAAAAGGAAAGAAAAAATAAACAAATAAATAAAGGCATTAGCATAGACTTAAGTTAATTTCCTACTGCAACTCTCCTTCTAAAATGATTTTCACCTGATGTGAGACCAGTTAATGTCCTTAAATTAAGCTTCGTTTCCTTTTTTTTTTTAATTTACTCTTAATGCTGAAATGATAAATAGTGTTATAGTGTACCACATTGCAGTAAATACATAATTTTAAAATTTAATTTTAGAATCGATAATGGAAATAGACCGTGAAGATTACTGCATGCCTAATATAAATATAAATAAATAGTTAAATATATATATATATATATATATATATATATATATATATATATATATATATATATATATATATATATATATATATATATATATATATATATATATAT